TAAGAGGTACCATGTATTGAAACATTTCGATACAGCTAGGTACTAATTTGCCTGATTAATAGTTGAGCTATCAAATCGTATTGATACCATTACTTGTGCATCTAGTTGTGCTATTATCCCAATTAACACAATATTGTGTAATCCATTCTGGCTTAAGGTTGTCATTGAAAAAATGATTATTTTAACACATGAGAACAACTTAAAAGGATTAATACTACGAGTACTACGTATATAAAAAGGGTGCATCTTCTTTTAAGTAGTTCATTTACTAAGAACTTCAAGTGAAATTAGTCTTTAAATGAGTGACCCAATTGAAAGTTTCTTTGTACACACACGAGTAAGAACAAATTGCACGATAAAAGCTTGTGTTAATTTGAAAAAACAGTACTCGATACGGAGTGTATTCAGGGGTAATGACCATAGCTTGGACCCTACGCAATCAGAGGTATTACATATATTATTTTTAATATTTGATTATTATGTTTTCATTTAAGAATGCTAATTATTATTTAAAATATAAATGTAAATCTTTATATGGGATATCCAAAGAAGGTACGTGATAAGTTTAAATTCGGATGGAGGAAGTACATAAGATCACCCTATTGTATGGAATAATGAGAGGGGCATTTTATAGTGAACTTGGCTAATGTTGGGAATAAAAAGGATTGAACTAATATGAGAGAGAAATATTTATATTACTTCCAAGAATAAAAAGAAGAGACATATTACACAACACGTCTTGATTTTGCTATGATGATCTAATATCCGATATACTTGATGTTAGAAAAACTTTACAAACTTTTATATTTATAGGATCAAAACTAGATCATAGGAAGCTAGGAGGAAGATGAGTTGAAATTTGGAGGAAGTTTCAATAGAAGGTGTGAGGAAAGTGATTCCTTGGTGTGAGGAAGTTTCCTTACACACATGAATAGCTAATTTCCATATCTTCCCATAAGCGAGTTCTTCAATTTGCTTGTAAACGGATATGTTCTGAAAATTTGCTTGAATTCCAAAAATTGAATTCTTCAATTAACAATTTGATTTCTAAAATGAAAAATGAAGGACAAACGAGACGTTTTTTAGTAGTGGAAAGACGTTTTCTAATATTACGTCAAACAATTTTTTTGTACTATCATAGTTTCTTTTTCTACTTGTGTTGTTGAATGAGTGATTTGTCATTCATATACGGTCCTAAGCAGAATGAAGAAGGGAAATTGTGATGGGTTGACAGCTACCTCAAATTGTGCTACATTCACATTTATGGTAAAAAAAAAACCAAAATATTTGCATCTATCATGAACGTGATTGGGTTTGAAATGACCATAAGGGCAGTAGCGTTAGAATTAGTGCCTCAATCCCTCTATTTTTCGAATAAGATAGTGACACCCATAATAACTAATAAGGTGCGAAAGTAAAGAAAATAAATACTTCGTATAACGGACTTTTAAGAGATGTCCTTATTGTTTATACAATTATGCGGAATATTTTAATAATTAACACGCGGCCACAACACTTATTCAATATTAGCATGGTTAATGTTTCTTATGAAAATGTTTATGTTTCTATGCCTTCTTATTTTTTCAAATACAAAATCTTTCAAAAATAAAGACATGCATAGAACATGTGATTTGACATGTTCTTATTGATAGTGCAGTGAGTTAACATAGCTTCTATGACATAGATGAGAGAATTGGAGATAAATAAAATAAAGATGAAGATAAGAGAGTAGTAGTGTAAAAGGTAGGATTAGCATAGGAACATGAGATATTTACATTATTCAATAATGTTATAAATGAGAAGAATGCTACTACGTAGTTTTTATAGTTTTCCACCTGACCCCAACATTTTGAAACCCGGAGCCAAGTAATACAAATCGGGAGTACTGGTTATGATCTACCTTTAGACCGGATTCTCAGTCAACCGATCATCCCAAGACGGCCGCCCACTGGGCTAGTCCCAGTCCAGGACCGGTGACCAGTCAACTCCTATTGCCAAATACTATCCTCCGTTTCTTTTTAATCGCAACATGTTGAATTTTACACTATTCACATGTTCTACTTTGATTACATTTTACGCTATCATTTTATGAGAATTATTTTTTTTATAAAAATATTGTTCAATTCATCTCATTACAAATTTTCAAAATATGATTTTTTAAATTTTTTTTACTAATAGAGATTAAGATATAATTACGGTCAAAGACGTGCATTGACAAGTGTGAAATGTTGACCGTTGCAACTAAAAAAGAACGGAGGAAGTAATAATAGACCAGCTAATTTGTATTCATTTCATTTCCCACTTCGTAGTAATGTTGTATTCGAGTCAAATAATTTATACTCGATTCAGGATTCAAATTCATATGAGACGATTCAAATTCAAAAAATTTAAATGCAAATAAAAATAAGAATACTAAATTTGATTCGAATTGTTATCAAATACAAATAAGAATATCAACGTATTCGATTCGAATGTTAATCAAGTATATTCGATTGATAATGGTTTTAATAGCATAATAATATTAATACACCATAGTAATGACACAATAATAACTTTTAAAAATTAGCTATACCCTCAAAATGTAACTCGGATATACATTTACGTGTGCACATTTCAAGCTCATTTATAAACGGAGCAAATAATTTAGTCCGATTCGTGATTTGGATTAACTTAAAATGCATTTATCCATCAAATTTTAAAGAAAAATGTAATGTTACAAATTAAATTTTAAAAACACATACTAAACCATAGCATGCATTTATAACATAAAAAAAAACAAAGAGCAAAAGCTATTTAAAAGTGATATTTAACTAGTGTTTAACTTTTGATCAAATCAATTTGATATTCATATATGATTCGTTAACTATTCCTATTGTTAAACGGATACGAATAAAAATCAAAATGAATATTTGTTTCATATTTAAATTCAAAAAAAATAAAGACAAATACAAATATCATATTATTCGACTCCATCCGATTTGTTTACAACCTTACTCCATGGGAAGGAAACAAGCTAACTCCTTTGGTATGCTAGTAATTCCTCTTTATGTCAGGCTTTGTCATGTCATGAAATGCCCCGAATTGTTCCAATATTATCTCGTTCCATTTGGGACCAATCTTTTTATCCCGCTCCCATGAGCCCATCCAGCACTAATGCTCTATCCCATAATCCTATTTGTATGATTATTGTCTTTTTTTACCATTCGACTATTTTGTAGTGCAAGCTCAAAAAGTAAATAGTACGAGTAGTATTCTTTTAATTTTTCAAACCCAAAGTCTAAATTGAAAAAATAATACTACGTATCTAACAAAGATATTTACAAATCTATATATCTTTCTCACTATATATTTATAAGTTTCTTATAAATAATTACATTATTTCATATTTTTAACTGGTTGCTTTCTTCTAAAATCAATTTGATGTTTTTAATTATGTAGAAAAAATAGCTTTTTATTAACATTTAAGAGAATGCTAAAAATATTAATATTTTTTTGTTCATACATATAGCAGAAATGCTATTGTATTATGCTTAGGAATAAAAATTAAAGGTTTTTGTTTGATTATTTGTTGTTAATTTGGGGATCCCATAGTGTACTGAATCAGACTTGAACGAGGCACGATTAGGACAAAGACAGTTGTTAGTTGTTACTAATCGAACAGTGACGGGGATAGCCATAAGGCCCATAATCTTGAACCATCCTAAATCGTCCCGGTCCAGATTTAAATGACATAAAATTATGACAAAGATTTGTCCCATACCATCCTGTGCCGTTGTTACTAATCTGGTAGTGACGGGGACGTCAAAGTATTCAAACAATGATACAATTGTCTAAAAAGCGCAATAATAGCACAGAACACGAGCTTAATTGTGTTTTACACCCCTGCACCCTTTTCCTTGTTAAGGTCTGCAAATTTTTATTTTTGGTTTTCATCGCTAAAAATCCTAAAATAATAAAATATATGCAATTTTTTAAACGCGTGGATTCATTTGAAGATATGAATAATACAAATAATGGATTGAATCCAACCTATTACCATTGATGTTTTTATGAATATAATGGATGAATTTACCATTAGTTGAACAGAATGGAAGATGAGGGTGAGTAAAGTTTTGATTGGTGGATAATTGTTGGCCGACGTTTTCAGTTGAAAGAGATGGCGAACCAGGAAATGGATTTTCATTTCAAATAAAACCGAAGAAACTAATCGGTGATCTTATTTATTGTACTCAATGGCCGCGGTGTCGTCAACAGCATACCATGGAAATCCGGAGCTCACCTTCAAGCCTCGACTTCGCCGCTTGTTTCCGTCTAATGTCAATGCCACCAGCCAGAGGTCTGTAGCTATGGCGTCCATTAAGAAGGTGAACAAGTATGATCCGAGTTGGGAAAAGAAATGGTTCGGTGCTGGGATATTCTATGAGGCAACTGAAGATGTGGAGCTCGATGTCTTCAAAAAGTTGGAAAAGCGTAAGTTCTTGAGCAACGCGGAGAAGGCAGGATTGCTCTCAAAGGCAGAGGGTCTTGGTTTCACTCTCCTCTATAGAGAAGCTAGGCTTGTTCTCCAAGGCCGAAGAGCTCGGTCTGCTAAGCCTGCTCGAGAAAGTGGCTAGCTTGTTACCATCTGCAATGGCCTCAGCGGCGCTCCCCGTTCTTACGGCCGCCATTCTGTGCATAGTGTTGATTCCAGATGACTCCGCTGAGCTTGTGGCTGTACAGGCAGTTTTGGCTGGAGTGCTCGGGGTAGGAGCTGTTGTGTTGTATGTTGGGTCTGTGGTTTTGGAAGGGTTGCAAGAAACTGAATGAAAAGGCTCTCATAGGAGTCATAGCATAGGAGGACCAGTGCCATAAAAAATAGCGGGTCTGTTGTTCTATTCTATGGCACTTTTTATCTATATGGATTTTGCCATTTTTTTCTGTAAGTGGTTTCGATGTATAGTATTATACTCCGTATCACTTTTTATTTTAAAAAAAAAAAAAAATCGTTGGCAAGTAAACAAAAAAAAACAGAATGGAAGATAAATATATTACTTTGGTCACCATTAATAATATGGCACATTAAAGGGTAATAAAACATCTACAATATTATTACATACGATGATACGGAGAGAAAGAAGCTCCGTGATTAGCAGTTAGGTATAGGAAGCGTATTTACCAGAGAACGGCTAAAGGTTTTTGTACAAGCAGCGAAACATGGACCGAACAAGAGCCAAACAGCAAGTTCATAGGGAAGAGGTACCCCAAAACAAGGGACAAGAATGTTCAAGATCTTCAGCATTTGAAACCTCCACAAGCGATGAGCCAGATGATCATAATGACAGCAGCAACAGCTCCTCCGATCATCAACTTCATTTGAAGGTTCTGCAGCCACATCTTCCGGCGTAGTTGCCGTCCCTGCCTTTGGAAGCTGTCTGCCTGTGCAGATGCGCGTTTGAGGGTCACCTTAAACGCTTAAAAATCATGAGAGCTTTATCACACTAAAAATATTGCTTACCTGAAACTGAAGGCTTTCTGATTTATCAACTAGCAATTCGATCCTCTCGCCTCTATCCAAAACCTGATGCAAAAGAAGTCTTTTACGATGTGGGTCTTTCATGATTCAAAAAAGCTTGATAAGTTGATAGCCTGATTCATAGCCTGTTTTCTAAGGGTAAAATGGTAATTTAGGCGGAAATGGTTAAATGAGCTGCAATAGTAGCTTATATGTTGGAATTAGTTCAACTTGTCACGGTATCAGAAAAAAGTCATAAAAAATTAATGAAAATGGGTACAAGTGTCATTTGCATTCACTTCACCCACTTCAGAAAAACTAGTTTTTTCATAACCAACCAGTTCAATCTTAATGATAGAGCAATATATCATTCATCCTCTGTTATTTAAGTCCCACCTAGTGCATTAAGCTTCTTTCCAACGCCTATATGTTTGCTGTATTGACCCTACCTAGGGATACCTATGATCCCATCCACAGTCTCTCACTTATCTAGTACCTAAACATTGCACCCATTTATCTATCTATAGGGGATGAAATTTCCTAACCGTAATACAATCAGCGATTTAAGAAAAATCTCCTTTGACTGTGTGAGGCATCCATATCTAGCGTGGATGGTACTATTGGGGAACATAAATGCATAGATACTAACTCATTTTATGAAAGACAGATGATTAATCATCAATTCATCTCTATGGTCTGTACATTTGGGAGTGTAATGCCACTCCCAACTTAACTAAGTAGTTTAATACCAATAGGAACAGAGCTTTAGAAAATCTAATGCACAGTTGCACACACTAGTCTATGCTTGAAGTTATCACCATAAATTATGTCTCTTTTTTCTGTTTATCACAATAAATTCATGGCAACTCTTGAACTAGTAGTCGTGAAAATCGGTGGGGAGGATAATCGGCCTATAGAAATTCTTCTAGTGTTTTCTATTACGTTTATTAAAGACAGGAAAATACTCACAGCACAAAATAGTGTACAGGGTATTTTAGAAAATATGACTAGCCAAAGTAGGAAAATTGGAGTCATATCATGTGTGGGTGGTTTACGCCTTTTAGAAAAACTAGTGTACAGGGTACTTTATCACTTAGGAGCATGGAAGAAAGAGACGAAATAACAACTAACTAGTCTGCATTTTAACTTTGCACAATCAAATTTAATAATATCGAACTAGAATCTAAGTTCTAAATAACAAAGTACAGCAGAGGAGACTATTTCCAATAAACCACAAGTCCAGTGCAGAGCAGTTGCATAGCAGCTTTATAAACCAAAAATCCCATCAGTTTCACCACATGCCCTATCATAGTCACATAGTACGTGGAACGCTTCGGTAGGGAAACGCTGTTCGCTAAGTCTAGCATATCCGGTTCGGAAGGGGCAGGTCCATTTCGGTACGTTGTACCTTACGTTTTGGTACTGTAATAAAACAGAATTAAAGATTTATAAAATTAGACAAAAACAAATTTCATAACATTAGACAAAATCAAAAACATTAATATTCTAGAAACATTTCACGCAAAACTGAAAAACAATACCACAAACACTAATTAACAGAAAAAGTACATCACTCAATCTACCCGTGGTCTTTTTCCTTTCCCATTCTCCACGCTTCATCATCTAGATTCTCCAAAACCATGTTTTCTAGTCGAAAACTTGAGCCTTCTATGTATGTGCTTTTGAGGTTGATGTCCCAATATTTGTGTGGACCGGCTATACAAATCTAAACAACGTGATTGGATTCAAATGTTGGAGTGAATGAAAACCAATTTGTCAGCTCATTTGCAATTCAACCGATTTCTCTTTACACTATGAATGTAAGAATATGTGCTCCAATTTATTTCCGCCGAAGAGCTGCAAATCCGTTGTAAAAGCACCTTCTTTGCTACTTTGGCTAATTCCGGTGTTTCGGCTCCATAGGTTGACCATCAATCTATTGCATCCATTTTCACGCTATCTGTTTGTGTTTTCACCATGAAATAGATCTCTTTCTTCATATGGAATGTTGCAAATTGCACAAGAAACAGTCTTTTCTCTTATTGACTTTTTGCAATTCTCTTGAAGGCTTCCATAACACCCAGCACAACTGCTTTATCTAGATTTGATGCTTTTCTTGGAACACCACCAGGAGCCAATTTTTCAAGATAGACTTCATCAAAAAATCTTGAGTCTAATGCAAACCCAAAACAATGAAGTGAGATTGTCTTCTCCCACCTAGCTACAATTATTTTCTCAATTTCCAAGTCATAACAAGAAAATATATTATCTTCCATGATGTCCTTTATTTAACTCAACATGTTATCCATCCTTTCATAAACTTCGCTCATTTTGGTCCATGACCATCACAAAACTTTATCAGTAGGAAAATAGGTTGAGGAATTGCCAAAACCTTTATAACATCATCCAAAAGTCATCATTCTTAATCGTTGCAGCAACATTAGACCCATTAATTCTTGTGTTTTCGTCTTCACTTCTAACTCGTTCCCTCCTAAATTTGCAGAAAACAGTGGTGGCAAGAGCCTCTCTACAATCCATCACTCTTTTTAACTATATGTCTATATGTAGTGGAATGCAAACCGGGTTTTTGTGACCGTTAACAACTCCGACTTATTTATCTAGATTTGGTGCTTTTCTTGGAATACCACCAGCATCAAAGTAGACAAGTACTTCATAACGTTCAAAACTATTACCATCACAAAACTTTATTAGTAGGAAAACAGGTTAAGGAATTGCCAAAACATTTATAACATCATCTCAAAAGTCATCATTCTTAATCGTTCCAGCAACATTAGACCCATTAAATCTTGTGTTTTCATCTCCACTTCTAATTCGTTCCCTCCAAGAATTGCAGAAAACAGTGGTGACAAGAGTCTCCCTACAATCCATCACTCTTTTTAACTATATGTAGTGGAATGCAAATCGGGTTTTTGTGACCTTTAACAACTCCGACTTATTTATCTAGATTTGGTGCTTTTCTTGGAAATTGGAATAACACCAGCAATTCTTGTGTTTTCATCTCCACTTCTAACTCGTTCCCTCCAAGAATGGAGGAAAACAGTGGTTGCAAGAGTCTCCCTACAATCCATCACTCTTTTTAACTATATGTAGTGGAATGCAAACCAGGTTTTTGTGACCATTAACAACTCTGACTTATTTATCTAGATTTAGATTTGGTGCTTTTCTTGAAATACCACCAGCATCAGAGTAGACAAGTACTTCATAGCGTTCCCATTAGGAAATGGATCAATATCGTGTTTGAGATTTCATTAAACCCAAGATTTTATGATAAAGTATATTTTATGAAACGGCTCCAGGTGGTATTTCAAAAAAAGCACTCAATCTAGATAAATAAGCTGGATTTGTTAAGGATCGCGAAAACCTGGTTTGCATTCCACTGCATATTGTTAAAAAGAATGATGGAATAATATCTTTGGGGATGACGTTAGAAATGTTTTGGCAATTTCTAAATCTATTTTCCTAATAATAAAGTTTTGTGATAGTCATGGACCAAAATGGATGAAATTTATGAAAGGATAGATAACATGTTGGGTTAAATGAAGGACATCATAGAAGATAATATATATTTTCTAGTTATGACTTGGAAATTGAAAAACTAAGTGTGGCTAGGTGGGAGAAGAGAACAATCTCACTTCATTGTTTTGGATTTGCATTAAACCCAAGATTTTATGATGAAGTCTGTCTTGAAAAATTGGCTCCTGGTGGTGTTTCAAGAAAAGCATCAAATCTAGATAAAAAAAAAGTTGTTTTAGGTGTTATGGAAGTCTTCAAGAGAATTGCAGAAAGTCAACAAGAGGAAAGATGGTTACGAGAGCAATTTGCAACATTCCATATAAAGAAAACGCTTTATTCCATGATGGTAACACAAGTGGATGATCTATTACATAGATTGGTTGTCAATCTATGGAGCCGAAACGCTGAAATTAACTGAATTAGCAAAGAAGGTGTTTTCACAACCGATTAAAAGCTCTTCAGAGGAAAGAAATTGGAATACATATTCTTACATTCATAGTGTAAAAAGGAATCGGTTAAATTGCAATAGAGCCGACAAATTGAAGTTCATTCACTACAACATTCGACTCCAATCACGTTTTTCAGATTCCTATAAATCCGACCCTCACAAATATTGGGAGTTGGGACATCAATCCCAAAAGAACATACATAGAAGGCTCAATTTCATGACTAGAAGACATGTTTTGGGAGAATTTAGATGATGAAGACGTGGAGAATGGTAAAGGGAAAAGACCTCATGTAGATTGAGTGATGTACTTTTACTATTTTAATTAGTGTTTGTGGTATTTTTTTTCAGTTTTGCGTGAAATGTTTCTAGAATACTAATGTTTTTTATTTTGTTTAATGTTATGAAATCATGTTATGAAATATGTTTTTATTTAATGTTATGAAATCTGTAATTCTGTTTTATTATAGTATCCAAACATAAGGCACAGCGTACCGAACATATGATACAGTGTACCGAACGCGTACCGAAATGAAACTACCCCCTACAAACCAGATAGGCTAGACCTTGAGAACCGCATTCCCGATCCTCGTTTCCGTACCATAGCGTTCCGCAAATTATGTGACTATGTGCATTCCCCTCTTCAGCGAAGACTTTGGTTACGGGTTTACTAGGTCATTGGTGTATTATGTGACTATGTGCATTCCCCTCTTCAGCGAAGACTTTAGAAAAAAAGTTTGTATTAATTCTCAATTTACTCATATTGCAAATTAATATGAGAAGAACGTCAATAGTTTGGGATTATTGGAGTGAGATTTTCCTTTAGATACACTCCTTCAGTCCAAAATAAATTTTTTATATCGAAAATAACATGATTGTATTAACTGCATATTTATCTATAATAAATATCTAAATGGTTATCAAATAAATTGAATGTGATAGCTTTTGTTAGATATCTTAATCTAGTGAGAAGAATGATATTTAAAGGATATAGATACTTTTTAATCACTCACCCCTTCTAAAATCTAGGGAAAGACAACAAAATAAAATAGGAGATACCTTCTCAATGTTGTCCATCATTATTCCTTTAACTTCTGTTAGTTGAGCCTTCACTTTAGACAGCTTGCTGATTTCTTCTGGATGGTTCATGCAATACTGCATGTGCTCTTGGAGCTTTGGCCTGCAGAAAAAAGCACATCACAAGAATTCTACATTGCATACAGAAGATGCTAAACTTTACAGTATATGGTTGTGATCATGTTTCAGGAAAAGGCCACTAGAATGCTGGATAATGAATATACCCAAATTCTCGGTCAAGGCTATATGCAATGCTAAATCGGTCCTCAAATAGATCATCATCTTCTTCATCATTCGCAAGAGGGTGTGGACCATCACCTTTGATAGTAGCACCATACCGATGTTTGAAGTCATCCTTCACTCTCTCAAGAAAAACAAAGGGCACATTTCTTTCCATTGACTCATTGGCAACAACAAGAAAAACTGCATAACCAAATGAAGATACATTTTTCCAGTAAAGAATTTAACACTAATAGAATAATAGGGACATAGGGTAACATTTAAAACAAGAGAACCATTATGAAAAATACCAAATCCATTGTCAATAAGAAAGTTGAATGTGTGCCCATCACAAGAGTAGGTATACTTGTTGCTATTAGAAGGCAGCTTCTGCAAACACTGAACAGCAATGGTACTAAAGTTCCCAGTATGAGATGTGTGCTCTGCTAGAACAACAGTACCTTTTGCCACAAAGCTATAAATTAAACTCTTCTGGTTCATTTCTGTATGATAATTCCAATGTCAAAACTGATACAAGTATCAATTCAGTACCCCTCCTGTCATTACAATGATAAAAAGCTTCAGGGAAATATTAAACTCTTGACCACGAAATGAAATATGAAGAAGTTGGCAACTGTAGTGCTAATTCCTCTCATGTTTATTTTGAAGCTTATCTAATTCAAAAATTATAAACTAGCACAAACCAGTGGTGTTAATCCCAGTAGCAAGCATAGCAGCTAACCCCGAAAAACGCTACAGCAGTATACGGGATAGCGGACTAGCGGGATGCTATTCAGCCAATTTATATGCAGAATACATAATTATGTGTATGCACATAATTACATGACACATCAAATCCAAAAAAGATAAATATATTACTCAAAGTCTCAAACATCATGGCATTCATAATTACTAAGTTACAAACAAAAAGCCATTATTGTCATGAACAAAACGAAAGAATAATTAAAGTGGCTTACATCTAAACATTAAGATTAAAACATGTTATTCTAGGTAATTCTTGATATACTAGCAGTAAAAAAATATGATACAAAAATGGAGGTCTCACTCTTGATACAGCAATACACCTTTATTTATTTTTATCTTCCTCACATCTGGTTACAATGAAGGTTTTTTTCATTCACCATTCAACAATACCCATCATGAAATTCTTTTCTCCTTTAACATCCACGTCATCTTCCTCATAAAAGCAGAAGAAATTCTCAAAGAGTTGTCGAAGAGGCACAAAAGGTCATCGAAGAGAACTGAAGAATGCTGGGAGAGGGTCAAAGGGTACTGACATGTTAAGAAGGGTTTAATACGGTAATTTTTTACTGCACAATGATACTTTACCCCTAAAAAACTTTTAAATCCAAAATTGACCCAAAATCTCCTTAGTGATAGCACGAATAGAGATCAGGTAAATTATAGCAGCGCTATAGCGCCCGCTACTGGTGCTAGAGCCAACCACTCTGCTATAGGCAATCTGATAATGCCTCGCCCCTGCTATGCCGCTATATAGGGATATTGAAACCACTGGCACAAACGATTAAAAGACAATATGGCTTTTGAGGATATATAAAGAAAAAAGCCTCGTTTAGGAAGGCTATATACAAATACAACTAGCCCATAAAATCACACAATTCAACTTATAAAGCATCCACATTTGTTTTCTAAATTGAGCAATGGAATGGTGAATGTATGGATGCGCTTCCAATATAATTAAAAATGATGTTTCATGAATTTGCAGATATTTTTAATGATAGTTTAATTAACTAAAACAAATTATAAAACATTTTTATAACCCTCTATCTTCAATCAGTGCTTTAATTATAATAAACTTACTACCTCTTCCACATTGTTAGGAACATGGGTAGATGCAGGCATATTAAGGACAAGTAAGATTGTGTGGTTGATATTGAATTTGTAAAGTATGAATTATATGAACCCCATACATATGACCATATATGGAAAGGGACAAACATTTTGGAATGGGACAAAATGGAAAAAATGGGGCAACTATAGTGGGACACTGACAGAAGTAAGTGAAAAAAGTACAACATCAAACCACATCCAATCAGAACCTAAGGGTATGTTTGGGAGTTTGGAGAGAAGGGGTGGGGAAGACTTTAAAAGTATGTTGTTGGAGGGGAAAGGGAGGGAAGGTGAGGAAACCCTTCTTTGTATTTGGGAGTAATAAATTTCGAAGAAGAGTGTCCTTGAATTTATAATTAAAATCACCTTGAGATAAGACAAATTCAAATAATTTAATTGATATTCATTTTAAATTAAGCTTAAATTATCATTTCATTTATTACCCTCCAAAACCCTCCAAATTGGGGGAACTTAAAAATTGAGGGTTTTGGAGGGATACAAAGACCCTCCAAAACCATCCCCTTCAATTTCGTAAACACCCAAACATGAAAAGGAGAGTCATAAACCCCCATAAACCTTCCCCTCCCCTCCCCTCCAAAACCCAATTCCCAAACACACCCTAAACCATTTTCTGTAATAAATGCAGAAACCCAGAGTCGCATAGTTGAAGCAAAGAAGAGAGAGTAATTTAGGTTCCAAATATGAAGTTCAACTCATTATTAGCATGAAATATACTGAAACTTGGTAGGAATTCAGATAATGTTATCAATTAAGGAATTACATTTCTAAAATTCAATTCTAGAGAGTAATTTAGGTTCCAAATATGAAGTTCAACTCATTATTAGCATGAAATATACTGAAACTTGGTAGAAATTCAGATAATGTTTTCAATTACGGAATTGAATTTCTAAAATTCAATTCTAGATTCGCTAATCCCAGAATTTGATGTCTTTGGTAAATCAACATCCAGTCTTGAGTGAAAGATACCAAATCAAAATATACCAAAATTTATACTCATAAACATAATGAACTATATAAAAACTTAAACATAATTAACTATCAAGCAGGTGATGGGGATATTATCAAGGTCAATCCTGTGTATTTCACGGCTATGGGATATAATCTGTCACGAGTTGATTTAAAGAGGCTAATCGGATTAAGGGCATCAGGTGAAGCTCAGATAATGCTCGTGGTGGCTTGGGCTTCCCAGAGGACGTTGTTGTGAGCGAATGGGAGTATGAGACTAGAGATGACAAATACAAAACGCAGAACAGTTTACACCGGCACAGATACACCAGTAAAAAAAAATCGACCTACTTTGGTGGAATCTATTCGCCTTAACGATCAGAAACTCCATGAACACGCGTATGGAAACGAATCGCTACCAAGAACTAAGATTAGTCCAAATTATAAATATAAAGGTGAACTGTGTAACAGGAAAGCATAAAAAAAGGTAGAATAGTGTAGAGAGAGAACCCTGAGATATGCAGAAACGTCGATTGCTTCGAGCAGTAGTTGAAGATTCGGGTGAATTTGCTGCGGATGGCGTAGTGAAACCGTCGACCTTCAGTCGTTATGTAGTTAGTTAAATTACGGAACACCCTGGTCACTTGGTGCTACAATGGCTCTCAAGTGGGGGCTCTTATGTACTTTCAAATTTGTTCTCCAATACTAAAAAAAAGGATGACACCCCTGAGGGCCCCAACACCGACCAGATAGCACGATGGAAGGATGTAAATTGGACTATAATCACAATCTGATAGATAGAGAATAGAGCTACGTCCCCGGTACTTGCAGAAGCCCTATGCATTTTTATCATAGTAACCTCTCATCGCAATTGCCGGGATTCGAACCCGGGACTTAACCCTTGTGGCACTCCCTCGTTACCAGTTGAACTACGCCCACCGGTTTGTTCTCCAATACTAGGTAGTAGGTACCGTAAACCGAAAGCAATATTTCCAAAATAACACTAAATGGAGTTTGGAATTTTAAAATAGAAATGCTATGTTTTTCTTTTTGAAATAGGGCTAATATGATAGTATTTATTACTCTGTATCTTTTAATCATGAATGTCAAGTAGTTGTAGTACTATGCATTCAACATAATTAATGACAATATTTTTTTAATCATGTCAGTATTTTTCAATCATGAAAGTAATGACTCCTATTTCGGGAAAAAAACATAGTAGTCATATTTTGAAATTTGCAAAGTTGTTTACTCCTATTTAAGGGAATTTCTTAAATCAAAATGATCATTTTTCCTCAAATAAAAAATCAAATAAATCTTTATACTATTTTGATTCCATCACTTAAATTTTTGTACTAAAGAAAACATCTACACTTACTTTTTAATCACAATCAAATAAGTCATTCTCACCTACCATAGTAGGTTATTTTAAAAAAAATAGGTTAAGAATATTGATAAGTCTTATAAAAATTTATATAAATTTAAAAAATAATGTAATAATAATAATATAAAAAACTGCTATTACAGGTCAAAAATTTATTAAATGGTCAAATTGATCAAATTTTTTAAGTGAGTGTACTTTTATGTGACATTTTTTAGTATAAGGACTTAATTGATGGATTCGAAATAGTAGAAGTACTTATTTCACTCTTTTCTCGGGCCTTTTTCCTCAAATAGGAGACTTTTTTGGTTTGAAGGAGACTTAAAAAATTAACACTCCTGTGTACTTGAATGAGTGCGATATTAGGTATTTCACCAAAATTAATAAAATTAATGTGAAATAAGTAATATTTATGGTACAAAATTATACGGAGTATTATGTTGAAAGATAGGCTCACTATTAATTAGGGGCCTAAAAAATAAAGTACTAGTATGTGGATATAGGCCACGCTTCTAGGGTTCGTCTGCCCCCATTGTACGTAACTCAATTGATATAGGCGCCGGTGCTTAAAAAAAGCACTTATCTACTTTTAGCTTCTAAAAAGTCAAAAATGGTGTTTGCAAACTGAAACTTCTGCTTATTTTAAGTAACTTTAAGCTAAAAGTTGCAAGCTGGGTTATACATGCTTTTTTCTGCTTCTAGGGCTTTTTGTAAATAAATCCAACTTTTAGGATAGTTGTATTCCTTATTATTTTAATTAATCCCCTGAACTACCCTTCGTTCTCACAGGCCACAACCTCGCCGATGAAGTTGTTCAACGGGTTCCTTGCAAGCTTCGTCCCCTCCGTGGCCTCTCAAGACATACCCCACTCCTTCAGACTTCTGGCTTTTCCTCTCTCAAAGTCATGACAACTAAATCTAAGCTTGATTACATCTATGGAGGAGAAATGTGAGAAAAAAGAACCCATGTACTTCCATTTTTTAAGAAAAACTTTGACCACAGTCACCAATTGCAAATGTTATCTCAAGCACCCGCCGTATCAAGAAGCACCGGAAGCACCTATGGCTAACTTTACTCTCTTTCTTTCTTCTCTGTTCACGACTGAAATTGCAGCTCACGGTCTGGTGAGAGGCTTTTTTATGTATACAAGGGGCATTATTGTACTTTAACAAAATACTTCATCAAAAATCATTTTTTTTATCAAACACTCCAACTTTTACATTTGGATTAAAATCACTTATATTCCCAAACACTATCAACTTTTACTACCAATCACTTTTACAATAATCTCTTCAAAAAATCACTTTTAAAAAGTACAAGCAATCGTAAACACTCCCATAGTCTTATAACTTATAAGAGCCATTTTTCTCTCCTAGAAATGGACCACAGCTTGGAGAGTTATTTTACCCAATGGTATGTTTGGGAGTTTGAAGGTAAGAGAAGGGAAAGATTTTGAAGGTTAGTCATTGTAAATTTGTAAGAGAAAATGATGGAAAGGGGAGAAAATTATCATTTTTGTTTGGGAGTAACAAATTTAAAAAGACGGAGTTTATGAATGAGTTGTAATTAAACTCACCTCACATATATGATACATTCAAATAGTTGAATTTATATTTATTTAGAATTGAGCTAAAGTTGTCATTTAATTAGTTATCCTTCAAAATCTTCCAAATTGGGGAACTTAAAAATTGAGTATTTGAAGGGTTTTGGAGGGCCACAAAAGCTCTCCAAAATCATCTCCTCCATATTTTTAAACTCCCAAATATGAAAGGGAGGGTCCTAAACCCTTGTCAATCTTCTCCTCCCCTCCAAAACCTAACTCTAAAACAACGCATGTTTGGAAGTTTGAAGTGAAGGTTTTGAAGGTTAGTCATTGGAAGGGAAGGAGAGGGAAAGGGGAGAAAACTCTTCTTATTTGGAAATAACAAGTTGAAAAGAGAGAGAGATTATGGATGAGTTATAACTAAAAGCACTATATATATATGATGAATTCAAATAGTTGAATTTATATTGATCTAAAATTGAATTAAAGTTGTCATTTAATTAGTTATCATTCAAAACCCCTAAATTTGGGAGAACTTGAAAATGAAGCGTTTGAAGGGTTTCAAAATCATTTCCTCCATATTTTTAAACTCCCAATCATGAAAGAGACGATCATAAACTCTTGTCAACCTTCCCCTCCAAAACTCAACTCTCAAACATACCCTAATGGTTGTAAAATTAGAGTTGCAAAATGGTTTTGAGAGTTGCATTTGTACATTGGTCGTCGTGATATCGATTTTTGTTGGGTCAATTTTTTAAAGTATGCCTATGCAATTAACTAATACGTAGTATATGTGAGTAAATATATCCCACGTAGCACGGATATTTTTTAAAGTATGCTTATGCTGCTTTGTTTATTTCAATTCTTTAATCCCACGGAGTATACATGAAAATATCATTCTTGAAAGGAAAACCGCACATTTCGTCCCCCAATTAGACCATATTGAAATCTCAGACCCGCATTTCCGGTTTCTTAAATGTCAACCCGAGTTGTCAGAATAATTATAGATGTCACCCCTGTCGTCATAAATATTGCAAACTCCGTCTGTCTTTCATTTTTTTCAGGGTTAAAATTGTAACCTCACATCCTTTTCGTTTAAAGCCCTAATTCGAGTTATCCCCAACCCTTATCACGCTTATTCTTCCAAAATTCAAATGTTAAGCTTAAACCTTTACTCTTTGCTCTGAATATTTTTTCCGCCAAGTTTTTGTTGTACATGGTGTTCGAAGACTGAAGGTATATTAAGGCCAAGATTCCCCTTTGAAGGTCGAAGCTGTGACAGAGGAAAGAAAGATGACCAGTCGACATGGCATATACCATAATTTGTCAAGGAAATGTGTTGAACTCCTGCAACTATGGCATACACCATAATTCGTCAACATAGTTGTCGTGCAAAATTAATCAAACCACAAACATCATGCCACCCACTCAACCCTAGACATCCGGTTAAATCTTTGAATAAAAAAAGAATGAAATATATGTACGCACCTGAAGACGGAGAACAGACGAAGGAAGAGAGCTCTACAAAACTCCAAACGGCTGAATAACGGACCAAGGAAGAGAGCTTTTGATTCAAGGCGAAGGAACAACTGAAAAGCTTTTCATCCCCCAGCAATGGATGAAGTATGGTTTGTATTCGATTAAGGGCTTTAAACGTCAAAGGATGGGAATGACAATTTTAACCCTGAAAAAATGAAAGGCAGACCGAGTTTGTAATATTTAAAACGGCAGGGGTGACATGCATTTATAATTATTCTGACAACTCGGGGGGTAACATTTAAAAATCCTGAAATACGGGTTTGAGATTTCAATATGGTGGATAATTGGGGACGAAATGTGCGATTTTCCCTTCTTAAAAAATAAAGGACCATAATGCATATAAATAAATACTCCATATTAAAGAATGAGAGCTTGTTTTTAAATATTTAAAACAGATTTTTTTTTCACTTAAGGCGGAGCTCCGCATTCGGTCGTTTTCTATTGCAGACAGATCACAGGGCAATTACAAAGGCAACATGATAGAGATTTCTTCTACGCCTCGGACATGGATTTCAATGGCAAACCTCGAGAATCAAATTGGCGAGAGCAAATTGGCGAGCGCAAAAAGGATAGGGTTTCCTATGAATTTTCAGGGGTTGAAATTCTCTTCTTCCATAATACAATAGCTCGTCCGCCTCTAGAACCACCTCCGGGGGAAGAAGCAATTTGGAGAAAGTTTCTATTTTCGTATTATTTTTTCTTTAGTAGTACTTGTTTTTATTTCAGTTCAAGTAGGTATGGTTGGACTGTTGAAGTATTTTGATTTTTGATGAACTTTTGATAGGCAGTGCTTCATTCGATCGATTTAGGCTTATTCTTGCTCGTTTGGTGTCTAGCGAGTCAGGTTGCTTTACATGGGTGACTGACTCTAAGTCTATTTTTAGGGCTTGCGATCGAATCTGTAATACCTGTCTAGATTTCGTCTGACATGTTTGCTCCAATTTTAATGAAAGCCGTTTTGACGAAAAAAAAAACTAATGTGGCATTTTTATTCTTACAATATCTAGTAATGTAGAAAGTGAAAATTACGTATAATATATCATTTAATTACTTGTTGCTCCTAAGGCCAAGTGATAGAAAAAATTATACTCTGTATCTTTTATCCTGATAAATTAATTAATAATGAAAGACTAGACATAGGAGAGTAGTAGGAGTGGTTATGGACTTCTGGTTAAGTACAAATTAACCGGTTAGAATGACGAT